AACGTGATAATGGATGAATATTTGGTGGAACGAGGGAGAAAACCTTTCGTGTTTCCTTCTTATTTTTCGGGTGTCTGTTAAAACCCATGTAACGTACGCAAATGGTGGGTCAAGTTTAAATGATGCATCCTTGTTTCATATGTACGACAGTTTCCACTTTTCCGTAGATTGTTTATTCATCGGGCGCGTGTTGCGTGCACGTCGTCGGGGCGGCGCACGCATGCCTACTCGCGCCCCCTGCCTGCATTGCCGCCACCGTCGTCGTCGCCAGTCGGCATGCGGCCGCCCCATACACTGTCTCGATGGATGATAAACACGTGCACGTGAAGATCTCGGCGATCGCCCTCGTGCTTACGATCCTATCAACTGCTGCCATCCACCTAGGTAGGATCTCAACAAAATCATGGCACCTACTTACAACACTTTGCACCAAATTGCAACTTTTTCTCTACAACTTTCTTGCAACATAATAAAAACATATTTTGATGTTTCTTATTTATACAAATATTTAATCTTGTTAATAATGTAACATTTATCTAATTTAATAAACATTTTATTCCATCTTTACTCTAAAAATTTTCTACAACTTTGACGAAAAAAATGATCTCAGATCCATTACAAAAATAAAAATTTCTACAATTTTAATCTGATTAATAAGTTATCGTGCTCTCATTTCTATTTATTTTCCATCTTTGTTCAATTAAACAAATTCTATTTATGATTTTTATTCTTGAAACTTTAAATTAAAACATATGGGAACAAAATTACATTAACGTCAATTATTATTTTTTTGAAATGTGAATAGGAATGTTTATTTTATGACGTGAATTTCATTTTCATAAATAAATTATAACTAATTAGTTTAATGAGTTGCTTTGACTGGTATATTTCCATGCAACTTTAGTTTCATATAAATTAATTTAAATTTATTCGTAAATAATAAAATTTTATATTTTTACTTCTATATATTTTATATTATTCAATATTAGCTCCTTTTTATTTCACGGTTGAAAATAAAATCACAACTAAACTAAAATTATAAATTAATTATATATTTTTTTAATCACAAATATCTAAATCAGTTTCTTTACGAATCATCCTTAGATCCTTAAAAAAATGTCTTCATTATAACTCTTTACTAATTTTGGTTGACAAGAAAATAATTACGGTTTTCTATTTACTATTATTTGAAATCAAAGTCAAGGATGAACTTTAATCAATTATAAATTTTTCTTTTTTTCCGATGACCTTAGGCCATTTTTCAGATAATTTGATGTTCATAGAACTGATGTTGGTGATATTTGAGTGACAAATCCTTCAAGCGGATTTTTTTAACCAATTCTGACACCTGTGTTCTGTTAAACAATTAACACCATAAATAAGTAAAATATGACTAAAATGTTTGTTTTTGCACATGGTAAAATTGATTCTAAACTATGAGATGCAAACAAAATTTGGAGCAATTTGCTTCTGAAGTTACATAAAAGTAACATCAATCAAATGTCAAAAAAATACAACTTAACTTGCTCTAAATATTTTGATCGTTAATTTGTTTATAAATTTGTTTATTGTTTATAAAGATTTGAATATAATATTTGAATAAATTACAAGGAAAGTAAAATAGAGTATTCTTTTATTTCTAAAAATTATGTTATTTTTTCAATTTATAAATCTGAGTTATAATATTTTGGCAAATTATTAAAATTGGGCAGAAAGACTAAGATTTATTAATTTATTAATTAATTTTCATGATTTTTTTTGGGTTTATAAATTATATTTATTTTAATTTGATCTTATAATTTGTAATTTATATACTAATGTATTAAATAATTAATTGTAATTAATTATAATATGTTTTTTATTTGTGTTAGTATTAAGTAAATGAACCAATAAACAACTTTTTCGTTATAACATTTTATGATAAAAATTAGTATACTTTTTATATATCTTTACGCTAAGGATGTTGTTCACTTACTTTATAAAGCGTACATTGTTAAATAACGATTCTTATTTTAGCAAACAGTTTTCTACATTATATTAAATCTTCTAAACAACAACAATAACATATTTATGTTAATGAATTGTTAATTACACTATCATTTACTTTAATTTGACAAATATTAAACAATTTGTCCATCTTTTCTTCAAATATAATTTATTTACACACTTTATTTTATTAATAATAATCATAATCACAATTTATAGCCAGAATGTTTATAAAAGAAGTTGAAGAAAAAAAAAAAACATAAAATACATGAAAATACACCAATTAAAGAAAATAATGTAAATTCAAAATAAATACCTTGAAAGGGAACAAAGAAAATAATTCTGTATATAAATAACAAAATTAAAATTATTTGCCCAATATAAATAACTAAAGACTTTTGTCCACTTTATTCCATTTATTAATAATTTCATAATTCTACAAAAAAATATTATTACATAGTAGGGCGACTAATAGCCGAATGGTTAAGTCGCCATACCCACGTGCCAGTGGTCACAGGTTCAAATTCTGGTCAAGCCAGGCCCTTTGTGAGCTCCCTTGGTGTATGAATTGCATGAATGAGGTTCAGCATATGGACCTTCAGCCAACTCGATGGACAATGACAGTATTAAGGATTAAAATAAAAAATCATCATAATGGTAACTATTCACCGAAAAAAGATTACCTACCTACCTATTGTCAACCGCGATCTTAAATTTACTTAATGTTCACATTGATAAACAGATAGTAAATAAAATTACAGGACATAAAAAAACACTACACAGTGATAATAAACATTATAATTTGTATAGTTAAGTTAAGTTTTACTAATTATATTCATTAAATAGTATGAATAGTTTATTTTAAGTATAAGTATAGTATATTTTTTCTTAATATAGATAGATTTGTTACTTTGAGAGATAGTTTAAATAAAACAATAGACAAAATATAATAAATGCAACATTCTATAGCATTATTTTTTAATTATTAACGTTATTGAATACATAAGATGTTATCCTAGAGACAATAATATTTTTATTAAAGAATTTTATGCGGTAATATAATATATAAAATTTAATATCTCCTTTGTCGAAGAATTTATACGCGAAAAGATATATATTAATATATTTAGAATGTCAACATTTCTTTACAACAATAACTTTGTAATTGTAAAATAAAGTCCTCGAGTTACGTCATCGCGTAAATCGAGGAAAGCACAAAATTTAGCATTTAGGTGACATATAAATAACGACAAAAAACTAGACAATGTTTTCATTATATTGATGAAGTTTATGGATTTGACCATGCTTCATAAAAGATGCAACTATAACAAGCTTTCTCACATAAGCAAATACAAACTGTGTTTGTAGTGAACATTGTTAGCACGTCAGGAATTTGACTGTTTATAGTTACTAATTTGTTAAATGTTAGTCATAAGTGTTAATTTTCAAATGTTTTACATTTTATGTTATAGTTTTGTTGTGAAAATACACGTTATATATTACTTTGCATATTCTTTTATAAAATTGGACACTCATTTTAGAACAAATAAAAATTCTAAATCGGACATGGATTTTAATCTGTTATAAAAATATAAATGATAATATTACAAAATGTAATTATATTTAATATCAGAAATTTGTTTAAAATCATTAATTAATATTTTAGTTAGAATTAATAAAGTTAGTCAGGAACTTCTTGAATTTCATCTTTATGTTCTTTGACTTTGTTACTAACAATGATAATGATTTCTATGTCCATCAACTTCTCTATATATAATAGTAAGCAAATAATAAGCTTCTTTGTTTAATAGACGTAATATACAAGTAGTATACAAGTATTCCAATTTATCAAATAATGTATACATTTGGTAATCAACATTGTCTTATAATTAATGACTAAAATAGCAACAATGTATTGTAATGCTACAATTTATATGATATTTGATAGCCGGAAGGGTGGTCCTTTTGATCATGATCCGACTTAATGTAATTGCTTTAATTAGCAAGGATTAATTTTCAGTATTACTTTTGAATGCTGCTTAATTACCAAATTGTATTGAAATGTTAAGCAACAATAAAATACTACTATATAAATTATTGAATTAATTCAACAGTAACATAATTAAAATAATAATTTAGTACTCAATACGAAATTACTAGCCAGAAAGATAAATTATAGCGTTAAAAGTAATTAATAAAAGCATTACACAAACATGTCACACCTCGCAAACTCACTCACAGATTCTGAAGCTTTGAAGGTTTGTTTACATAAAACAACTTTAGATATAATTCCATAAGCAATGAGATTTAAAGCAAATAATTTAATGTTAGGTAACAACTTTAGTTTTGCATAGTCTTTTCAACAAATTTATTAAAAAAATCTGCTTATTTTTTTTGAAAATTAAAAGATAAAAATATTATGTTTTCTTATACTTATACAAAATGTTCTAATCAATAAGTATTTTCATGAAAATACTAATATTAACTAATACTTGTAACTTTTCAAGTAACAAAATATATCAAGCATTTTTTTATCGAAATTATACTTAAATTTCTTATATAACAGTTCAGCACTATGTGAGGTATTTATAATCCTGGACTTTTTGAAACCGGACTAATCCAGGACTTAAAAAGAGACTTGACTATATAAAGCGAAATAACTTATAATTTATATATTAAACAAATATTTTTGTAAACTATGTTTTTAGAATTTATTTTGTTAATTAGAATTTAGTTTGTTTTGAAATTTCCAAATAAGACTATAGTGAATCCGATTTTTGTTTTCAAGAAGCAATATATTACAATACAAAGAAAATAACAATTAGTTCTGACTAATGATAAAATAAATAAACAGCAGATTGATCCAATGACTAAACGACACTCATAAAATATAAACAAATAATAAAGAAACGTTGGAATCGATTCAATCTATGTAGATTGACATCTGTGTTGCCCAGCTCTACAACAAGTTGATTTAGATGATCCTCCAGCCGATGATGATATCTGATGCTGGCTTTTGCAATCTCTTTTTTAACCACAGCGATATCAGTAGACTGGTGGAAAGAGTTGTTGGTGGTGATACAGGGAGAATTGATCAATTGACTCAACGTTTTTGATTGAAATCTCTGGATGTTGTCTATGCTAGTGTTGCACGCGGATCCCCATAGTTCAATACAAAT